TGAGTGAGAAAGATGAGCTGAACGAGGGCGATCTGCGCTAGCCGTCCCTAATTTAACAGTAAAAGACTAGAAGGAAGGCGACTAGTCATCACCACCCACCACCAACTCTTGGGCTACTCTTTTACCAACGAATAGTGGGATTGACTGTAACATTATAACGCCCCCACGGCTGAAAGAGCGGGCATGTTTGGTGGGGCTATCGTATGGAATTCGTTTAATTAATATTTGTATTTTGACCGGCTGAGAAACAAGCGAGATCGCTGTTAATTTGTTCAATATATTTTACAACAACTCCCAATGTGTTGCCACATAATGTAACTTACTTCATATTTTTTTTCTCCTAGAATGCTCAAAACTATTATAGCAATAAGGAAGAATGAATTAGAATTTTCAATCTGAACTGAACCTTGTGCAAACGTGGGAGACCCGGCATGGCCAGGTTGTTAGGGCGCTCGACTCGCAAGCTGAGGGTTCGAATCCCCGTCCCACCAAATATGCTCGGCCGTGGGGGCGTTATAATGCGACGGTCAATCCCACTATTCGTTGGTAAAAGAGTAACCCAAGAGTTTGCGGTGGGTGGTGATGATTAGCTGCTTTCCCTCTAGTCTTAAACTGCTAAATTAGTGACGGCTAGCGCAGATAGCCCTCGTGTAGCTTTGCGCGAAATTCAGTAAACACAACAAACTACAAAAAAAGAGAGAAGAAAAGCGTGCTTAAAGACAAACCAACTTTCCAGCTAAATCTAGCACAACAGAATACATATGATGACAAACTTTGGACTACAATTTTAATTACTTTCAGCTCTCGTAATCATAGTTAGGTCGCTGAAACAGATGATGTCACATCCCGTGGAACTTTAATAAGTCAATATATTCAGGAGAGCTGATCATGGTTTGAATCCTGATATTCCATGAGAGATTATTGAAGTTGTTTAAACTTATCTATTTTTTTTACAATGTTTCGTAATCTATTTATCCTTGAGTATATTATATGCAAGTCTTAAAACACTGAACATATATTTAGTTCCTGATCCTTTAAAAACAATCTTAATTATGAATAATTGTTTCAAAAAAATATTCTTTTTTATACAAGACGTGTAGAAAATAAAAATATTTACTAAATCGTTGAAACACAAATTTCGGAGAAATGACGAAAGGTGTGTCCAAAAGTAAGTGTTGTGACACACCAGTCGGAATGTAATACGAGTGACACTTTTATCTTCTACTTTGTAAGTTAAACTTTGATCTATTGTACTAGTTTCCTTATTTATTTTTTATTTATAAAAGTTACAACAGGCACTTTGTAGAATTCCTGTTTTAGACAAAACATACTTTAACAAAAATAAAAAAAAAATGTTTATCGAATTTTTGGTTCAGTGTGTGGTAGTTTTAATTTTTTTTTCTTCCACTAGGGGACACTGGGGAAACCATGATAGTCAGAGGATGTGCTTTGGACAGTGGATCCTTGACCATTGACACTGAGATTGTGCGTATGAGCCATTGTGGAGGATTTTACTTCGATGACCGCTATGTTAAAGGTTGTCTTCAAAGTTGTACGGACGACGCCTGCAATGTAGGAAATCCTGTAAAAATCTTGAAGTCTTTTTCTATGATCGTTACCATGACTACATTTTTGGTTTTCATAAGGTTCTGTGCGTGACGAATAAGGTTATTGTCAGTCAATGCAGGAAGCCATTTGCTACCTAGACACCAAAGATCGTTTCCAGACTTCCAATTTCATTTCTTCTGATCGTAGTTCCATTAAGTTACTAGTATCAGTTAATCAAGTTAGTTAAGAACTTAGCACACTGAATAACACAGTTGATCTTCACGGTGAAACAAACAACTATAATAAAAAAAAACACAAGCAGAGAGCATCTTTTCTGACAACTTATCAAATAAATGGAGAGAAATATCAGAAGAATGACTTGTGTTACGGTTTAAGCTGTTTAGTAAAGATTGCTGCTTTTTTCATGTCATTTTTAGTGAAGACAGGACGTGTCAAATATCTTAGTTTGTGAAGTACTGCAAAAAATAATTTTGTGTGAAAATGTCTTATGAGTAAATAAAATTAATTATTGTTTCGTGTTTTATTTTCTATGTTCGTAGAAAAGGTACATGTCTCAGCAAGTTATCCAAAAGACTGCAACTTAATACCAGCTTGTTACGTGACACTTTCGAGTTGGAAATTAAGACTAGACTTTATTCAATGATATATTATGAGAAGAAACAAAAATTAAAGGACTTATTAAATCCCATAAATAAAAATAAACATATTAGATTGTCTTATGATATACATCTCGAGGAACTAAAGAACAAGATTTATTTCGACATACAAATATACGAACATTGTTCTTAATATATTAAAAGTACATCCATACTAGCGAGTAACAGTAACATGTACAACATATTATAATAGATAATTTAAAAAATATGTTGATATTATTAAAAACATGTTCAGCTACCAGCGGTACAGGCAATAACTGTTCTAAACAACAACCACTGTAGCAGCTGATGTAGAACACATCAACATCTAGTCTATAGTGAAGAGGGAAAGGTCGGAACCTAATAATATCACAATGCCTGATACGCATATAGCATTATGCGAACTTACTCTGACAACAAAATAACCTTAATAAGTGTATCAGTTGGAAAGTAATTACGCTGAGTTCACGTTTTCGGCCTTGTGCGTAGATTGATAGACGCTTTGACAATAACAAACAAACAAACCTATTGTTCTACAAAAGAAACATAACAGCGGTCATTGACATAAAAACGAAATAGAGATTATACTTATTGCATATTCAAATCCTGTAGAAATCTTGTAGCCAAAGTTATGCTTTCAAATGAATTTCAAGAATAACTTTAATTTTAGGCTGTTTTACTTCATAATATGAGTTTGGTATTCTCAGCAACACTTGGAAATTAAAAACTGGAATGAATTGCGTTGTAGAAATAATCTTATTTTTCATCAAAAAGTAAGCTATTGTCAGAGCTTTCCTAAGTTTTTTTTTTTCAACTACACAATTATATTTTAACTTCATCACTTTTTAATACACGACGCTTTATTGCACCTCATATATACTGCCTAATAATAAATGATCCCAAAAAACTAATAATATTTTAGTAGATAAATTTATTTATCAACTCTTGGATGAAATTTTATCATCTTAAATATGTTTTTTTAATACTTATCAGCTTGAACTTACTAATATAGGTGAATTTTCAACTGCACAAACGTTTCTACAGGGGCACAATTTATGATCAACTGTACACTAGGAAAACCCCTGGCTATTGTTATCTACTTCTGCAAGCTAATTTATGAATTGCTCGTGCTAGTATTTTTGAATAAATCTAAACAAGCTCCTCGTGAACTATGACAAAATATCGTAAGTATACTTCAAAACTGTATTTCACGAACTATTTCATTATTTAGTATAATTTAACATTTTCAACGAGAAAACTAGAGTACATATGATTGATTGATCCTTTCTAAAGGCAGGAAAATATGGAAACTTGATCTTATGAAATCTTCTAGAAAACTTTTCTGAGTACCTAGCATTCACTTCGTTTCTCTCTAACAACCCCTTTTAGGATACTAATGCTCACTTCACTTGTTCCTAGCAAGCTCTTTTGCTATGAGACCAGTGTCCACTTCATTTCTTCCTAACAAGCTTCTGCTAGAAGTCCAGTGTCCACTTCATTTCTCCCTAACAAGCTTCTGCTAGGAGTCCAGTGTTCACTTCATTTCTCCCTAACAAGCTTCTTGCTAGGAGTCCAATGCCCACTTCATTTCTCCCTAACAAGCTTCTGCTAGGAGTCCAATGTTCACTTCATTTCTCCCTAATAAGCTCTTTCCACGAGCTTAGTTTCCCTAAAAAAGTTGTTTTTGGCACTATGACGATAATTTTAAGTTTCTTAAATGAGGAACATTTGAAAGCCAAGCATTCACTTTAATATCGTTTTCTTTAGAACAGTACCAGGCGACTAGTATTCAGTTTCATATACATTAAAGAGAGTTTAGTCAATGACTTTTACTCACTTTAATCTTGCATAAAGATTACTAGTCTTGTTAAATTTCAGTTTATTCGCTTTGATCTTGCATAAAGATCACTATGATTCTTAATCTTCCTTCTCATCTTCGTGAAAAAAAGTTAATGGATTAATTAGAATATCTTTACTTTTGCATAAAAACTATTATTTGGCTAGTTAAGCTCACTCTGATCTTAATCATTCCTAGGGAAATGTTGTTAGGTGGTCTAAGATATTTTAAATCTTAAGTAAAAACAAATTTTCCTAACTTTAATATCATCTGAAAAGGGGTTTCTATAACTTGCATGCATTTTATTCTTGCACAAAAATATATTGCTGGGCTAATTATAGTTTTAAGAATTTTACTTGATGATAGGTTACTGTATCCATTTCACTCACGTAAACTTCCCTCAGGAAATCAAATAGATTTGAACTTATGTTACTCTTATCTCAAAACCATTTATTAAAGGTATTTAACCTTGTCAGAAAATGTTTTGATGACTTTATTCTTGCGTAAGACAGAGTATTTGGTTAATTATATTCTAATTAATCTTACCCAAATATAAATTGCTGTATTTTGATACTAAAAGCTAAGCTTCCCCTAGATTCAGTAGTTCTCAATCTGTTAAGTCTCAGGACCCATTTGTCAATATTGATGGCCAGTCACGACCCAGCAAATAGCTTAATGCAAAAAACATCCGGCTTACTAACTTCTTACTAATTAAATAAATAAACTATTATCTGTTTACACATTCTGACGACCCGATTTTGGGTCGCTACCTATGAGTCACGAAACGCTTCTCTAGGAGACATTACTGGCGGTTTGAGCTCATATTAGATCCATCTAAAAACCACCAGTGTTTTGTAATAAATCTGATCTGGCTTAACGCATGATTACTGGCTGGATTTTCTCACTTATTTCTTACCAAAAAAACAACAACATTGTCTAGTAGTTTATACTTTCTTGAGAACATTAATGGGTACTTTGCTTGTTTTGTAATTAAGCACAAAGCTACACAATGGACTATCCGTGTTCTGCCCACCACGGGTATCGAAACCCGGTTTCTAGCGTTGTAAGTCCGCAGAAATACCGCTGTGCTACTTGGGGCAGAGGTGGATACTAACTAGATTGTCCATTGTGTAGCTTTGTGTTAATCCATCCAAACAAACAAACAAAAGCTTTATGTAACATTTCACGATCTGGGCCAATTCCTTGTTTTGTTTTAGTATGAGTGAAAAGACAAGTTTTGTAAAAAATGCATTACTGGAAAGAAAAATATGTTGGATTTTTTGTATGTTAACAACTGTTGCTGTCCTAATTAAATGTGTTAGATTAAAGCATTACACTTGAAAAACAAAAATAAGTTTAATGAATATATATATTTAAGGTTTCCAAACTTGTGGCAAGATTTCATTTTAAAATATACGTATTTTACGTTGATTAATCTTAAGAACAATTTTTAAATGAAATCGCTATTAGCTCTTGACTTTTGAAATACATACTGGTCTTTAATTTATAAATACAGGTTAAAATTTCTATACTACCAAGTTTTTGGAATACTCAAGTTTATACTAAAAAATAGTTTATATAATAGGGATATAAACTCAAAATAATATTTCACCCTGTGTCACGAGGTAATTATTCATCCAGATTATCTCTAAGTAAATATCCCACGAAGGAAAGGCCACTTCAGGAAACATTCATCGTACCTCCCCTTATACTTGAAATGTTGTGCTCTGCTAAGCATGCCAAAATAGGCTTAGCAAAATACACACACTAAATGTAATCCCAAACATTTCATGTTTCCCTATGGTAACGTGCCAACTCCTAACTCTTTACTCTCAGACATATATGACTTCTACCGATATAACCTCTACCATATGAGCTGAATTTCTGCAAAGCCATTTCTTTATTATTTTTTTTACAAGGACTAAAGAATCGCTGATCTTTAGAAATTATTTTATACCAAGGCCGATACCTTTTTTTACATTAAAACTGATTGATGCTTAGGTACATTATTCATTAATTGTTTTATCACATACACATGAGATAATTAAAACCTTTATTCAAGAAGTAACTTTTTCTAGAACATTTTTTTTTGTTCTTCCAATATTTTCAGAAAGACATCTGAAGGATTTTATCAGAAGTAAATATTTTTAGAAGATGAGAGTTTTGTTTTTCCATAGAAAAATTATTACGGTGACTATTGCTTTTTTATTTGTTAGTACTGATTGTTTGTAAAAATAATATTTTATTATTTCTTAAAGAAATTAATTTTTACCAAATGACAATACTTTATATATTATAATTATTAACCTACCTTAAGCTGGTTATCTATGCGGTGTAATTACAATTTGTATATATGTGTTCAAACACCTTTACAATTAGTACCTATATTTTATCCAACGATAATTATTTCTATATTATCCCCATAAAGACAGTCATTACAAGAGAATTCCTTTCTGTATGGATAGAAATAAAATTTAAAAATCAGGAAATGTCCAGTCATAGATATAATGACAATTAGAAAAAAATATAATTGTACCTCTAGTGACAACTAGAAAGAAAATATAATGATATTTCTGGTGTTACCTAACAATAAAATATAATGATATTTCTAATGTTACCTAACAATAAAATATAATGATACGTTCAGTGACACCTTGCAATAAAGAATAATGATAGTTCTAGTGTCACCTAGCAACAAAATATAATGATACGTTCAGTGACACCCAGTGGTGGGATTCAGCCGGTTCGCACCGGTTCGTGCGAACCTGTTCTTAGAATTTAATGACCTCCACGAACCGGTTGTTAACAATCGTGTGTATAGGCCTAATAATAACGTTACAACTTACAAATACGCGTGTTTACAACGCAACTTTACTAGCAGGCTAGGCGGACTAGGTCTACTAGATCTCTGATGAATCAGCAGGTAAGTGTTTTTTATACA